AGTCCAAGCCCCTCGCACACAAAGCCTCCTTTACCCCCTCCCTCCAACCTTTCCTAGGCCGACCCCTACCCCGCCTTCCTTCTACTACAGACTGATACACTCTTGAAGTCATTCTGTTTCGCTCCATTCTCTCTACATGTCCGAACCACCTCAACAACCCTTCCTCAGCCCTCTGGACAACAGTTTTGGTAATCCTGCACCTCCTCCTAACTTCCAAACTACGAATTCTCTGCATTATATTCACACCACACATTGCCCTCAGACATGACATCTCCACTGCCTCCAGCCTTCTCCTCGCTGCAACATTCATCACCCATGCTTCACACCCATATAAGAGTGTTGGTAAAACTATACTCTCATACATTCCCCTCTTTGCCTCCAAGGACAAAGTTCTTTGTCTCCACAGACTCCTAAGTGCACCACTCACCCTTTTCCCCTCATCAATTCTATGATTCACCTCATCCTTCATAGACCCATCCGCTGACACGTCCACTCCCAAATATCTGAATACATTCACCTCCTCCACACTCTCTCCCTCCAATCTGATATCCAATCTTTCATCACCTAATATTTTTGTTATCCTCATAACCTTACTCTTTCCTGTATTCACTTTTAATTTTCTTCTTTTGCACACCCTACCAAATTCATCCACCAATCTCTGCAACTTCTCTTCAGAATCTCCCAAGAGCACAGTGTCATCAGCAAAGAGCAACTGTGACAACTCCCACTTTATGTGTGATTCCCTATCTTTTAACTCCACGCCTCTTGCCAAGACCCTCGCATTTACTTCTCTTACAACCCCATCTATAAATATATTAAACAACCACGGTGACATCACACATCCCTGTCTAAGGCCTACTTTTACTGGGAAATAATTTCCCTCTTTCCTATGTACTCTAACTTGAGCCTCACTATCCTCGTAAAAACTCTTCACTGCTTTCAGTAACCTATCTCCTACACCATACACCTGCAACATCTGCCACATTGCCCCCCTATCCACCCTGTCATATGCCTTTTCCAAATCCATAAATGCCACAAAGACCTCTTTAGCCTTATCTAAATACTGTTCACTTAAATGTTTCACTGTAAACACCTGGTCCACACACCCCCTACCTTTCCTAAAGCCTCCTTGTTCATCTGCTATCCTATTCTCAGTCTTACTTTTAATTCTTTCAATAATAACTCTACCATACACTTTACCAGGTATACTCAACAGACTTATCCCCCTATAATTTTTGCACTCTCTTTTGTCCCCTTTGCCTTTATACAAAGGAACTATGCATGCTCTCTGCCAATCCCTAGGTACCTTACCCTCTTCCATACATTTATTAAATAATTGCATCAACCACTCCAAAACTATATCCCCACCTGCTTTTAACATTTCTATCTTTATCCCATCAATCCCGGCTGCCTTACCCCCTTTCATTTTACCTACTGCCTCACGAACTTCCCCCACACTCGCAACTGGCTCTTCCTCACTCCTACAAGATGTTATTCCTCCTTGCCCTATACACGAAATCACAGCTTCCCTATCTTCATCAACATTTAACAATTCCTCAAAATATTCCCTCCATCTTCCCAATACCTCTAACTCTCCATTTAATAACTCTCCTCTCCTATTTTTAACTGACAAATCGATTTGTTCTCTAGGCTTCCTTAACTTGTTAAACTCACTCCAAAACTTTTTCTTATTTTCAACAAAATTTGTTGATAACATCTCACCCACTCTCTCATTTGCTCTCTTTTTACATTGCTTCACCACTCTCTTAACCCTTTCAGGGTCCAAGGCCAAAATCTGAAGTGGTGCCCCAGTGTCCAAGAATTTTAAAAAAAAAATTGTTATTTTTTCTTATGAAATGGTAGAGAATCTTTTTGTGAATGTAATAAAACAAAAAGTACGAAATTTTATGGAAAATTGACGAAATTATGCTCTCGTGAATTTTGATGTGTCAGCGATATTTACGAATTGGCGATTTTGCCGACTTTGACTCCCATTTTAGGCCAATTACATTATTCCAGTCGACCAAATTCTCAGCTATTTCACTAGTATTACTTCTATTCTATCGATTGAGCACAAGAAATCGCCAAGTCAACTGTTTCAACTACAAAATAAAGTGACCGGAAATTGGTAATTTGGCCAATTTAACACTAAGTTCAAAATATTCCAATTTCAAAATAGGGTCCAGAATAAACAATGTAGGTATTCCTGGCACTAAACTAACATTTCTTCTGTTCATTAGTTATGTTTTGAGGCTTTACAAATAAATTCCATTTTGATTTTTTATTCACATAATGAATTTTTATTCACACCAAAAAATAGAAGATTTACTGTTATGCAATATTGTAATAATTGTATAAATATCATCACCACATTTTTGAATGTATATTAGACCCACCAGCTGGCGTGTATTAGACGTGTGAGGTCGTTTGTTTACTCTTGAACATCGGCAAAAATTTAACATTTCCGCCACTTTGAGCTCAATTTCAAGCCATTTCCAGTGCTAACACCAATCAAAATTATCTCTATTTCTGTAATATGTCTTCCATTCTATCAAGTGAGACCAAGAAATCACAAATACAACTATAAAAAACATACAAAAAAACACTGCGAAGTCGCTGTTTTAATCGAAAATCATGATCTCAGTTTTTTTTTCTCTCATTATACACAGTGTGCTGCAGGATTTGTTTTATGTGGTGCACACATACCACATAGATGTATTCTCTCATATCTAGGCCCAAATTTACCACTCACAGTTTATCAGAGTGAGCTGAGCTCATGACATAGATCTACGGTTTGGACCCAGAACGTAAAGCCGTAGATCTACGGGACGGACCCTGAAAGGGTTAACCTCTCTCTTTTTCTCCATATACTCTTCCCTCCTTGCATCACTTCTAGTTTGTAAAAACTTCTCATATGCTAACTTTTTCTCCCTTACTACTCTCTTTACATTATATATATATATATATATATATATATATATATATATATATATATATATATTATATATATATATATATATATATATAATAAACATTTTTGTTTAAATTATTATGAATCTTAGGCTATGCAAAATCTAACTGATATTATTGAATTACAAATAAATACCTGAAGAAGCTACAGTTTAAACATATTTGATATACAGTGGAAGCTCTACTTGCGAGCGTGTCCATGTGCGAGTTTTTCCAAATATGAGTAGTCGATGGGTCAATTTTTTGCTTCCATACGCGAGCAAAATTTCCACAAGCGAGCAGACCTCAAGGCAGGTTCCTTGACACTGGTGAGGGGCTCTTGGTCTTGATCTCGGAAATTGTATCTCATTTGTTTGTTGGACTATCTTATTGAAACTTGGACAGTGTATGATGGAAAGATGCTTCTTAATGTACACCAAAAATGAAAGAAATCTAAGCATAAATAATGGAGTTCACTTCTCAGCAATTAGCCACCCTTAGTGGTAATTTCGAATGGTTTTTATGGTTGTATTCTCGTTTTTTTTTGGTCTCATTTGATAGAATGGAAGGTAAATTACAGAAATAGATATGATTTTGATTGCTTTCACGACGAAAAGTACCTTGAAATAGAGCTCAACCTAGGAGAAATGGTCCATTGCTTGGCTGTTTCAGTGTAAACAAATGACGTCATTGTACATTCCGATATGCAGTCGTGAATGGGCTGACATATTTATACAATTATTGCAATAAGGAATAACAGTAAATCTTATATTTTTTGTGTGAATAAAAATTACAAATAATTTATATAATAATAATAATATAATAATAATTATAATAATAGACGGCTTCAAAAGGCCGTCATTAGATGGCAGTGTTTATCACAACAAAGAGGGAGCGGTTGTGGCCGCCTCCACCTGTTACATAATGACATATTTTATTCATTCTAGAGTATATATCGTGTTTCTATGTTATTTATATTGTCTGTTATGTCATATTAGATGAACTTTGATACATAAATAAGCTGTATAGATGATATTAGTGAAATTATTCATGAAAAATTTTGCCCGGTGTCCAGACAAACTCTCGTCCACCGCCGACACCTCCCATACCACTACATGAATGACATGTATTTTGTTCATTCTAGAGTATATATCATGTTTCTATGTTATTCATATTGTTTATTATGTCATACTAGATGAACTGTGATAGATAAATAAGCCATATAGATGATGATAGCGAAATTATTCATGAAGTATTTTGCCCGGTGTCCAGACAAACTCTCGTCCACTACATGAATGACATATTTTATTCATTTTAGAGTATATACCAGGTTTCTATGTTATTTATATTGTTTATTATGTCATACTAGATGAAGTGAGATAGATAAATAAGCCGTAGAGTTGATAGTAGCGAAATTATTGAAGTACAGAATTCCACTGGAACAGATTAATTGCATTTCAATTAATTTAAATGAGGAAAATTGACTCTGCAAATGAGCAAATCCAGTTGCGAGCAAGGTCATGGAACAGATTAAACTCGCAAGTAGAGGTTCCGCTGTATTATCTGGATCAGGCTTAACAAAATCTTTCAGTTAACTTATTTCCTGTGCCCTTCTGTGCTTGTATATTTTCTGCATGATTTGTTTACAGATTATGGAATATAAATTAGTAAAAATTGGTATAAATATTTTATGCCTAGGATATCTGAGATTCTAGCTCACAATCTTTTTTTAAATTTAAGAAATGATGTAGAACAAATAAGAAAAAATCAACCATACAACCACATAAGATTAAACACAGTGCCAAGAGCTCTTATTTCTTCTGACAGTTACATTTTGATGATTGCTAGCAAAAATTATTTTATGCTTTGTTGAGAAACTGAGCACAAGTGTTGAATTTCCTTCAGTACAGTATCACTAATGCATTCATTCAGCATTTTCGAACCACTTTCATATAATCAAATAGCTACACACATATTCTCTCCATCTACTAAAAGAACCCCTTTGATGCAGGCCATATCCAAGAGATTTTCAAACTATCAAAACAACTATATACAGTATTTTAGTTTAATTTGAACGTACATACAAGTTATTTTTCAACACTGTTCTTTGCATGGATAAATAAAAAAAAAGTAATAAAGTAGTATATAGATAATATGTATACTGAAAAATATATACAGTATTTAAAAAATACAAGTAAATATACATATAGTATTTTTAATTATACACGCACTGCTTGGTATCCTTTTAATAAAAATAATTATGACGAAGACACACTATTGGCCACTGTTCAGTGTATTAAATTTATGTGCAATAAGATCATAAGACTGGTGATATCTTAATATGCAACATGATAACTGTGAATAGTAGAGGTATTCCAATGCTTTTACAGTTTCTCTGTTCTTTGATGAAACCACAAAAGGACTTGGCATACTGCTGTGCTACTTTTCACTGTGGTTACATAATGCAATAGATTTGTGTGATGATGCACTTTACAATACAGTGCTTACAAACACTTCTGCTGCAAATCCTGGTTGTAATTCAGGTAAAGTACAATTATGTAATGTATAAATCAGACTTTATATTAATTCCAATTCCCACATTAACCCTTAAATGGTCCAAACAGATCGACGTTCAAATTCGTAGTGCTACAAAAGTAGATCTACTTTTTTTTACATATTTTCAAATATAACAAAAAAAATGTAGATAAAAGTTTTTTTTACACGTTTTCAAGTGTAAAACAAAAAAAAAGATCTTAATATTTTTACATACTTTCAGATGTTGAAAAAACGTATATATACGTTTGGACCATTTAAGGGTTAAAATGAACAAACTGTTTATAATTTTGAATATATGTAAAGTTATAATGGATTTCTAAAAGGCATACCTTGTACATATGGCCTTATCTAGCAATCTTGTAGAAAAACATATGAAAGCCAGTACAGTATCTTCTTTGATTTTATTTTGCCTTAGATTGAGCCTCACTGGTTCATATCAGTATCCAGTGTGTGTGTGTGTGTGTGTGTGTTTTAAAGGGTGAAAGGATATGTATGATGCTATCTTGTATATCTATTTTGGCAAAGGGAGCTTGATTGGTGACTAGACCAATTTCCTGATCTCTCGAGCCGCTTGGATAACTGAAGTAGGGTAATTACGGAGTTCTTGTGCTAACCGCACCCCTCCAACGGAGAATATAGATTGATCTGTTGGAGAAGTGTACACATTTTAGTATAATGTACATTAATACATTTACTTAATTTCAGACTGCTTTTTTTACAACATGAAGTCAAGAGAAATAAACCATAAACAGAATATGTATATAAGAAGGCCCTGCATATTCGGCACCTTTTCAGTGGCATTCGACTGAGCCCAGTGGCGTGTAGAGGGAGGGGCCAAAGGGGAAGTGGCCCCGGGCATCCAATTAGAGAGGGAAATAAGATAGTGATTTTGAAATTTCAACAGTGATAAATCAATTTTTGGAGGCTCACCACACTACAGAGGCAGTGGTTAGCCCTTTATTCCTTTAACATGGTGTACCCTTTCTGTCCAGAGAAAATGGTGCCCCCCCACACTCAAGTGCATGATGTATGTGGAGCATCCATTTGGGGAAAAGAACTTAATAAATTTGGTTTATATTTAAATCGAATAAAGTGTTTATTTCACATTTCATCTGTGTTTACATATTCAAAATATCTCCCTTTCTCATAAAATTTCTCAATACTAGGCCTTATATTTGAGTCTTTGGGGCATGCAATCAAGGAGTTGGCCCCGGGCATCACCAGACCTCTGCACGCCACTGACTGAGCCACCGTTCATTATGTTCGATGTTTTTATCGCTTTTCCACACAACAGTTGTGTGATAGTGTAAACACATTATCAGGCATTTTAGATGCAATTGGTAAGGAAAAAGCACACTTTTCCACCTGCTGGTGATTTTTGCTTATTGCATGGGATCAAGAACCTAAAAGCCGTACAAATAGAGCCCTTCTGTATATATTTTTAGGTTTAGTCTGCCTGAAATGCCCCGGCATGATAGTGGCTTTCTTTGTACTTAACAAATCAAAATTGTAATCACACATTTCTAGACAGACAGAGGGGGCAAATTTCTAGGTCTCCACCTTGACTGCAGTCTCAAATTTCAGACACACATACAGCAAATTCCCAAGAAAGCCTCCAAAACAGTAGGTATCCTTTCAAAGACACTGTACTATGTACCCCAATCAGTTTTTGCTCTGTACCACTCTCTTTACCCTTGCCTCACCTATGGTATTTGTGCATGGGGCTCAACCACAGCAAATCACTTTAAACCTTTAATAACCCAACAAAAAACTGCAGTGCGATTGATTACAAACTCCTGCACTAGACAACATACTCCATTGCTTTTCAAGAGTCTTAACTTGCTTAATACACAAAACATCCACACTTACAGTTGTGCCTACTACATATGCAGAATACTACACTCAAATATAAATCCTCCTCTCAAACTTCTCCTTGATAACTATAACAGAACACACAGCCATAATATGAGAGACAAATCACTCTGATATCCCTCGTGTCCATCTCTCCCTATGGAAAAATGCTATGCACATAAAGGACTCGAACATCTGGAATTCTTTGCCAGAACATACTAAAGGACCCCTGCCTGCAAATCAGTTTAAGGGCCTACTTAGAAATCACCTCATCACCCAAAATTAACCAGACAAACCATACTTAATACCCACCAGTTACTCAAAAGCTACTAGAAAAGAAATTCTAAATAATTTAACACTGCTCAACTTAAAACTGTTTCAGTTTCACTACTGCATATTGTGCTGAGGATTGCTCAACCATTTACTCTTTACTTCATAATTAGGATCTTTAAATTGCATCGTTTTAAATAGTACTAAATGTAATACGTACGTCATGTTGTAAATTATTTTAAATTGTTCGTGTAATACTGTAATTTTTATAAACTAATTCACTAGTGTAACTATTCTCTACCGAACTTCTCTACTAGACTTATTAAAGCCATATAGCACTACCTAATAATACTCAGTTCTCTTGTACTCACTGTAACTCATCTAATGGCCATATGAGCTGTTACTGCCTTATTAATCTGAAGTTAATTTTAAGTTTGCCCAAAATGCTCTGCATACAAAGAGGCTTTTGGCATGTACACCCAGCTATTATATTCCTTTGTACAGCCATGTATCATGTAAAAATAAACTTATTATTTTAAATATTGCAAAGAAATATAAATCTTTAATTAAACAAAAGAATGTGCTAGTAGTGTACTGTACTCCTTTATAACGATGATAGCTTCTACTGCTCTCAAACTCTTAAACATATTGTAAAAGTGGCATTAAAAACCAAAATACATTAAAGATACAGAACTCTACATACACATGAGTTATCTAAACCTTATTATTATAGGAGAGCCCCGTTTGTACGGCTCTTAGGTACTTGACCCCATCCGGTAAGCAAGAATTGCAGGCGAGTGGAAAAATAATACAGAAGACTGTTATATTACATGGATTTATTTGCCACGTTTTGGCTATTGCACTACAGAAAAATTGTGGCACAATTTTATACAACACTTCATAAAATTAACTTAACATGGTTCTATTTGTGGGTGCGGAAAAAATTTCCCCAGCTCAAGCTGCTGCCTTGTTGTGAGAGACCATTGTGTTAGTGGGGGAAGCCCTACCACCATCCCCTGCCACTCCCACCACCCCCTATCCCAGCCTTCATGAATGCATGTTCAGTTCCTTTCTCTTATCAAGTTTATTCTCTATAAGGATTAAAATGTAGGGTTTACAAATTTTGGTTATTGTGTGGTTTACATGTAATAAAATACTAATTAAAGAGGGGGCCACTAGGACACCTAGCATGGCTAGGCATTTCGGGCAAGCTTAGATTAATTCTTAACCCTAAATTATTACAAATTATGGAGTAAGTTGACTAAATACTAGTTTGTGAGTTTAGCAATGTGAATGCTTTTGTTTTGACACAATACATAGTTCTATATTGGAGTATCACAGGCAAACTTATGACTAGTTAGGAATCATTATTTTAAGATTAAGATTCATATTTCTGTGCTTATAGTCAAATGGGTGAGTGAGTGAGTGTAAGTGTGAACCACCAGGTGGTTTTTATGTAGTTAGTTGACGGGGTGTATCAGGGAGATAAGATGTTTTCTAATGGTAGTTTTGAAGGTGATGAATGTGTCTGCAGTTCTAGAGTTTTCAGGTAGGGTGTTCCAGATTTTAGGGCCTTTGACATATATTGAATTTTTGTCAAGGTTTAGTCGGACACGGGGAATGTCGTAGAGATGTTTGCGTCTGGTGTTATGCCTGTGGGTCCTATCACAACTATCAAGAAAGCATTCTAGGTCAAGGTTAATATTGGAATTTAAGGTCCTGTAGATGTAGATTGCACAGTAGTAAGTGTGGATGCTCTGAACAGGGAATAAGTTTAGATCTATGAAGAGTGGGGGGGGGGGGTGTTGCCAGGGATGGGATTTAGTGATTATTCTTACTGCAGCTTTTTGTTGGGTTATTATTGGCTTTAGGTGTGTTGCTGCAGTTGATCCCCAAGCACAAATAGCATAGGTGAGGTATGGATAAATGAGTGAATGGTATAGTGTGAGAAGGGCATTTTGCAGCACATAGTATTGTATCTTGGAGAGGATCCCAAGTGTTTTGGATACTTTTTTTTGTTGTGTGTTGAATATGGGTGCTGAAATTCAGGTTGTTGTCGAGGTATAGGCCTAGGAATTTGCCCTCATTATGTCTGGCAATTAGTGTTGTTGATCTTAATGTTAAGTTGCACAACACCTGCTCTGCTACCAAACATAATATAGTAGGTTTTGTCAGCGTTAAGTGTAATTTTATTGGCTGTCATCCAAGTCGATATTTTGAGCAGCTCGCCGTTAACAATGGTGTTGAGGGTGGCAAGATTAGGGTGAGAGATGACATAAGTCATGTCATCAGCAAAGAGAATGGGTTTCAAGGAGCTAGCTGTGTTTCTGAATTGTGCTTTGATCTTTTAACTGCCATATCTTGTATCTGCCAAGCAATCATGGCACCCAGTAGGCATATGAGCGTTGCTGAAAGTGGCAAGAAAAGGTATAAGCATTTAAATCTTAGAGTTAACGAAGAAAATAGTGATAAAGTAGAATGTCATTTAACGCGGTAGTTACGTTCCTGAAAATGCTGTGTTAGGTAAAACTGTGTTAAATGAAACTGAAGAATTTATGGGAAAAATAGGGTTACGTTCCTTGGAGCCCCCAAAAGGTCAAAACTTTTTTTTTTAGACCAACAGAACTTACAAAAATGAAAGAAACATGTAATTGTAGTTCATTGTCGTGATGTATTATGTTGTTTTTTACTGCTTAAGACTACAAATGCAACAGAAATAATAGCATTTCTTACCTTAAATTGTGGGTGCTGGTGTTTGTCGATGATTGTGAAGAGAGTGGAGAGTTATGTTGTGGCCCTACTGGGTTGAGGTGGATAGCAGAGGTACTGGTAGTGAAGTCTGGTTGTACTGGAGTGTGCATAAATTCTGTAATGGATTTCTGTTCTGTTTTGCACTGCAGTACATTATACAACTGACAGTAAGGCATCAGCTGCTCTAGACATCATTTCAGGGTCCTCTTCAGTGAAAAAGTCTAAGTCATTCAGTAAGTCAGTCAAGTCAGTCAGTCAGTCAGTCAAGTCAGTAAGTTATTCAGTAAAGTCATTCAGTCAGTCAAGTAAGTCAATCAGTCAATCACACAAACTCATATTTACCTCATTCTTTTTGTGTGCAAAGTGACGATTCATTCTGGCTACAGGTTATCTCATCTAATATCTCTATTTTCTTCATTAATTCTAAGACTTAAATGCTTCTAAGACTTAAATGCTTAAATCTTTCCTTGGCACTTTCAGCAACACTTGTATACCTACTGGGTGCCATGATTGCTTGGCAGATTTAACCCTTTGGGGGTTTTGGACGTACTAGTACGTCTTACAACCCAGGGTTTTTGATGTACTAGTACGCCTAAATTCTAGTGCCCTCAAATCTAGTGAAAGAAAGCTGATAGGCCTACATATGTAAGAATGGGTCTATATGGTCAGTGTGCGCAGTATAAAAAAAAAATCCTGCAGCACACAGTGTGTAATGAGAAAAAAAAAGCTTTGACCATGTTTTTGGATTAAAACAGCGACTTTGCACTGTATTT